TTTACGGCGCTTGCAACTGCATAAGGTCATATGAGCTCCAAGGGGTAGATATCAACAGAGAAGTCCTTACAGGGAATCAGACTTACTCTGCTCACCTCTCTAGCTTCAACGGCACAAAAATTCTGCTTCGACTATCAAGGCACCCCGGCAATAGCGGGTCAAAAGAGTGTGGCAAACATAAAAAAGAAGTAGAGGAAAACGACGACAGTAAGGATTGGGAAAGAAAAAGCAGCAGTTCCCTGTTGTAGTTCAGGCACAGATATGGGCATGGCATTGTTGGATCAGCCCATTTACAATTTTACTGTGCATTAGAACGAGAAATGTCCCCCCTTTGGGGAATGGCCTAAAGACACTTTAGTCAGTATCACCGCTCCGGGGTTGTGAGGTGAGCTGACAAAATAAGCTACTTCTCGCAATCCACAAATGGAGATATTGGCAATAAAAATCAACACTAGGGCCAAATTTTTAGATTTTCAAAAGATGCCATATTCTGTATGTGTAATAGGCGTGAGATTATTTCATACTTAGGTATTTTCAAAAACGTATAAGCTTGATGTATCTATTTCCATATTGCTCAAATCCAAGAAGTAACTCATAATGTCAGCATGTTTCACATGTACGTTCTTGAGCTGTACATGGCAATCGGTTTTTTTTTCCTCAAAAGATTAATCAGGAAAATTCCCTCTAAGTGTTAAAACGACTCCTCTTGTCGATGTTGATATCATGTTCCCATTTCTATCTATTTGAGGTATTCAATTTGTTTAAAGGAAGAGCAAGATGATTTATTTAATAATGTGAGTGTTTTCAGCCAAACCCCATTTCAGTGAGACAACAGTGCGATTGATGTGAACTCACCCATCAAACAGATGACCTTTACCACAACAGACAAAAGTACATATAATAGGAAGTGACATTCTTCCAAATGGGTTGCCATTGGTAGCAAGAAGGTCTTTCTTTAATGAATCTCGTTGTTCTTTTTAATAAACGTTTACCTGTGTTGTGAGATTATATCGTAATTTTGTTCAGATTTGCAAAAGTGCTAAAATGAGCTGACTCGGTGATTTTTGCATTCCTTTTTACATACAAAATCAGGAGACACAATATCTAACAACCCTATATAATAATTATTGTTATGGTCATCCTTGTTTTAAAATTGCTATTGAAAAACTGTTCTTTTAGTGTGGAAGTTGTTTTATCTATTACATAACCGGATAAAGGAGGATGTTTCAGTTCCATTTAACTTACGCTGAGTACAAAATCATTGTATTAAAAATAAAACACTTTCAGACTATTACGCATGTTCATACAGCTTCAAAGTTCTCGTAGTTATTTGGACAGCAGCAAGAATAGAGCGCAGCACAATCATGGCTTACATCTTGGTGATACATGTATTAGGCTCTCGTCAAAATAATACATGTACAACCGAAGAAATACGATGTTTCCGTCCATTTGGCAATGTTTATCAATTCTTTCCAGGATCAACACCTAACATGTCCATCAAGAAATAATCTTGTCAGATTCAACTGAAAACATTTGACACAAAAATAACATTTTCAGTTTCCATCAACATAGTTGGGTAAAAAACAATAGTCCCGTGACCGTGGGCTCAGGAAGTTCGTTTTTTACTTGTTTTACCATCTTCAAGGTCTAAGTAAGAAAATTAGCCCCCATGCCTCTTTACAAATTGTGGGCGTTACCCATGAGGACTTGAAATCCAAGATGGCCGCCAAATGGCAGAAATCGATATTACTCCTTGTCTTTTTCCCACACATATGAAGTGTGATACATCACTTAAGGGCTTTTTTAGGTCAAGAAGTTCATTTTTAGAGTCATTTTTAGCCTTTCGTAAAAAATAAGTGCAAAAAATTCAATATGGCTGCCATCGTCCGTATTGAAAATGGGAAACACGTTGGTATCACAAATAGTAACTTCAGGTTCACGAATTAAGGGCATTTAATGTTCTCAGATAATTCTTTTTTAGTATCATTTCATATTTTTAGTATTTTCCAAGCTATGTAAATCCAGTTTGGCCGCTCATCGAATATGTACCCACATACAGCATTCTCAGTATGGGAGCCTTGTCTATACTTTTTGCATAGGTACAAACCTGTGACCATTGATCTATGACACTGCAGCTCAGGATTCACTCTGTAGATCTGATTTAGCAGCATTTTAGAATCAATGCAACCCGCAAAAAATATCGCCGCGAGGGGATAATGTGCACTTTAGACATTCAAAAGACAGTATTACATAGAAAGAAAATTAATCTAAAGGACAATAACCTGTTTAGTCTTTACTCTCATCTTTGTCTTGATCAGTTTGGTTTACAAGCTTGCTACATTCATTATTGCTAGTATGAATGGAGGCTGTGGTATTAAAGCTATCCAAAATTGACAATTGTTGGGGTATCGCAGGAAGACTAGGGCGAACTTGCCAGCATTGCCTATTCTACAGTTGCAACCCATGCATGAATAAGGATTGCCTGACATGACTGAGCATAACGTGAACGAAAAAAAAATTCGTTCAGGTGTCCCTTCAGCAGTGACTTCAGAATATCCCACAAATCTATAAGCCGCTTGGAGTATTTGTGGTGACCATACTATGTGATAAACCTGATCGAATGCAGATGTCATATTGACTACATTGGCTACTCTTCAGCGTCTGTCATATATGGCATGCATTAACATTTTGATCCAGCGAGTCTGACATCTCCAGTTGACACCTAAAACTTTTTCAAGTCTGTGCCAGGCTGTTTGTACACGTGCTTGGCTAGTTCCTTTTTTCCAACATTCTCCCAAGCTGCATTGTAGCCACCAATACGAGTTCTTTTGATGCATTGAAACATTTAGGTTGTCCTTTACATTAAAAGATTTCTGCTTCCTATGCTGATGAATCTGTCATGGACTAGAGCTTATCTCAACAAAAGAATACACCCAACACCATCTCCCGTTATGTTTCCCTAGGAAAGCTTGGTATACAATTCAGGCTGCAACCACGAAAGTCAGCCAACCCAGTTTGAAAGAAGCATAATATTCGTATGCCATTTAGAAAAATGAAATCCCCCCCCCCCCAACCAAATTGGAGCGATATCCTTAAATAGAGTATGGTTTTCCTCTTTGGTTTTGACAAGGATTTTGTACGTAAGGCTTGTAGCTAACCATAAAGGCATAAAGTATGGATTTTCTTGCAGTGACCATGTAAGTTGTTGATGACATCATGCAGAACAGACTTACTTGATGGCTTGATTGCATGATTATATAATTAACTTTTCGTGAGAGGAGGCTGAGAGCCTGTTTGAGCCCCGCCGTGTGATGGAACGTGTTGCTCGTCTGAGGGAGATCTGTTGTCATCATTGTCTGGACGATAAGGCCTGTACTGCACTCAGGAACTTCCGAATGGACTGCTGGTTCACTGTTACTTCCAATTGGACATTTAGATCGTTTAATTTTCAACTTTGCGGTGATTTCGTTTTACAGTATTTCTAGTTGACCTTGGTTATCATAATTTTTTTCCCTGGCTTTTTAAAACTGTAGGTAAATTATCTAATGAGCCCAAGTCACATCACCTCCTTTTGATACCGTGCATGCTTATGCCCATGTTAATGACTGTGCTCGCCGTTTCTCAACGTGCATGGTAAATCAGCATTAAAGCTAAACCATAGGTTGTTGGACTATACTGATTTTTTTTCAGATTCTTCAGCAGTATTATACAGTTACGTTTCAAGATTAATGGGACAATTTCTTCACTTTCTTCAAGCTCTTATGTTAAGTAGCCACTTTACTGAGCCTCTTTCATGTATCTGTTACACAATCGTGGCGCAATATTTTGGATCACCTGCTGGTCGCTTACCCCTAGAGCTTGTATTGCTGACCTAGTATAATCTTCCCTTCCTTTAATATCACGCATCCACTCATGTTTGTTCTTTTCCTTTTCGTACTTAAAGCCTATGGAATCTCGGCATTTCTTGGTACGTAACTCAGATTGATATGCCGATTTCATATCCCCAACTGCATACCGACAGTCATCGGCAATGTGCTTGTGATCTTCAAGAAGGGACTTCAAGGAACGTATATTTGTCCTTTAAAAATTTGTTATGGCCTCAAAATGTTAAAACAAAAGAAAAGTGTGAAAGATTTATTTTCTCAAGATGGATTGCCGAACCAGACTATTCACCACCTTGGGATACGTGCTTGTTCCAACATGCATGATTGTAGCTGATGTTTGCAAAACAACCAGACAGGGAGGAAGTAGACAAGGAAACTTCATGTCTGGATCTTCACACCAGAAATGTCTTGCCGTCGTCTGTTGAGGTTTAAAGTTCAAGGGTTTTTTAAAGAGTGTGTGTGTGTGGGGGGGGGGGGGGGGAGTAGAGTATTATATTGTAAAAGAATCAGAAGGTGCATTAAATAGTTCCACGGGATATCTGTCCACTGAGTGGATTCATAGATGAGAGATCACACATTTATCAAGCCCTCACCACTTTCAGATTTTGCTCCTCTCTCTCTCTCTCGCTCTCTCTCTCTCTCTCCCTCTCTCTCTCTCTCTCTCTCTCTCTCTCTCTCTCTCTCTCTCTCTCTCTCTCTCTCTCTCTCTCCCTCCCTCTTTTCCTTTCCCTCTCTCTGCCACCTCTGGCCCTAGTGTTTCTCTTTCTCTGGACTTTCCGATTTGTGTTCACCGCACCCTTCTGTTATTATATTCCTTACTTCCACGCACCTTTCCATCCCCCCCCCCCTCTCTCTCGCTCTCTACCACTTCTGGCTTTAGTGGTCCCTTCTCTCCGGCGATTTGTACTCACCGCTCCTTTAAATATTCAGACATTTATGTACGCACTTTAGTTTTTATAGCCTGTGTATATGATGATGATGATGAAGATATTTCCGATATTGTCCAAATCACAACAATGCGTAACTTATAGTGAACACTTTGTTGCTGTGGCGTCATCACTCATTTATTTTTTTCTCAAATACTACGTTCCTGATGAAGCCTCATTGGCGAAACGTTGAACTGTGAAAAATATATATTTTCTGGAAATACAACAAGGTCTTAACTGTTTTAATACCTTCTTTATACAATGATGTGGTGAGACCTTTTTTATTTCGGCCTCCCATCAGGATTTTGGAAGCCATTGAATATCTAGATTTAATAGTGGTCGCTCGTTACGGAAGTCCTCCCTGTGATATAGTGTCCCTCTTTTTTTCGTGCCATAGTTCTTTTTGAGCCTTCTACACTTCGTGTGAAACTTAAAGCCTACTCCCGCTCAACTGAACCCATGGCAAGCCCCAGTACTTCGTATCGCCTTCTCTCCAAATTAGTAAGATACCAAAATAATCTGG